CAGCAGGATGCGTGTACTTCGTGCGTGACAGAGCTCTAACTTTGTGAGCAGACAGATTTTCTTGCTGCTCTTTGGGGTGTTTCCCCTGTTGATACTGTGGTCTTCAGAACCCCTAGTCAGGAGTACGGCCATGTTACACTGGATGCCCAGTGTAAACCCAAGTAACTGTTTGTTTGTCCTCTGGAGAGTCTAGCCTTTTATTTATTTATATGCTTCTTTCCCTTCTGTGGTTAACATCTGCCTGGCTGAGACAGATCTGTTTAATCTCTGCTCAATGTTTTCTAACCTTTCTGCCAGGGCTGAGATTGCCTTTTCTCATGATTGTGTTGAGTTAGCAGCAAATCAAAGATGTGCTTGTTTTTAGTTAACTGATCTGCAGATTGGCAAAGTGTCTTCGAGATGGTACTTTGGCTCTTTGAAATGAGAGATAATTTAGTAGAAAGTAAGCTGTATGTGATCAGCAGATACCATCTAATGTGCATTGTGTTTAGCTGCTAACTTTAGTATATCTTGTACCAAGGAAACTGATGGATTCATCTACTTTTAAAGAAAACCTGTTAGGGCCTAGACTTTAAAATGCAAGAAGTTTCAGACCCTTATAGAAGAACCGTTCTTTATTCTAGAAATGCTAATCTTGGATCTCATCTTCATTATGGGGGCGAAATTTTACTCTGTCCCAGACAGTTTGTGTTGTCAAGCCTCATCCTTCGTCTTATAGGATATTTCACAGTGTAGAGGGGTGATTTCAGTATATGTCATCTCTTTATTTGCTGTCATTCTGCTGAGCCAGGTTGAGGTCATCAATTCAGAAGTTGCTCATCAGTATTCACCTGCGATCTAGAGACCTGAGCAATAAGCTTGCCTCTGTGAGTGTTCCCCCACTGTATTCCTTGAATTGGAAGGGAAAGCCTGATACTTTTTTGTCAGTAAACAAACATTGATGAGCTAAAGCTAAAATAAGGCAGCTCTGTAGCTCGGCCTGCAGGCTTCTTAGTGGTTAGGCATTGCAGCTTCTTTCCCTGGAGTTGGCTTCTGCTGCCCTGTCAGCCAGCTGTCTTAGGTGTAGTAACCGTTTTGCCAGAAGAACATGATACTTTGCTGCTTATTCAGGAGAGGTTAAGGCCTGATTTTTTTTTTTCTTCTTAGTGGTTAGGCATTGCAGCTTCTTTCCCTGGAGTTGGCTTCTGCTGCCCTGTCAGCCAGCTGTCTTAGGTGTAGTAACCGTTTTGCCAGAAGAACATGATACTTTGCTGCTTATTCAGGAGAGGTTAAGGCCTGATTTTTTTTTTTCCATTGCTCCATACCACTTATTAATTTCTTGTACCTATGTGAAACGCTACTGGCTCAAAGAAAGAAGTGTTTTGCGCAGATACACAAGGAGGCAATACAGTGGGCAGTTTGCATGTGGTTTCGTGATAGTCAGCACCTGTGTGATCCTGGACCGTGTGCCTATTAACACTGCTGACATACAGCTGCTTTTTGAGTGGCAGCCAGCTAGCATATAACCCATAGCACAGCTGTATTAATGCAGAAGTTTTGGTCACAGGCACCTTGGAAGCTATTGCTCCTAGGAAAAGCTCTGCATCTCCCTTAATGTTTACTTGAAGGAGAAAAGGTTTCAGCTGGTTAAAGAGGCATCAGAAGGACTGACAAAGGGAGTATTATATCACTTGCTCTGTAAAGATGAAGAGATTACCTGATTCTGGTCTGGCTGCTTTATTGTTTGGTACAGACACCACCAGGGTTAGAAAGCATAAAAGCTCTCGTCCACTTGCATGTGCATTTGTTCAAATTAATCCAGTGTCTTTATGGGCAAGCAAGAGATGGCTGATTAAAACTGGGGGATTTATAAACAGGTCAAGTTTCATTGGACTATGTTTTCTGCTTTGTTTCTCATTGTGTGTAGGCTCTCTTTGTGCTCTTCATCCTGGCTTACATTCACATTGCCTTCTCCCGATCGCCCATTAACTGCTTAGAGCATGTGCGGGATAAATGGCCACGCGACGGCATCTTGCGGGTGGAAATACAACGCAACTCGAGCCGAGCCCCCATCTTCTTGCAGTTCTGTGATGTTGAAAAGTTCCCAGGAATGGCAGTTGAGTCCACAGCTGAGGAAGAGGAGGAAGAAGAGGAGGAAATGACTGTGGATATGTTTGAAAACAGCTCTATCAAGGTAAAGACTCTTTTCTGGGGTACGCAGAAGGTAATGGGAAAGTGGGTGTCAGTTTGGGGTGAAACAGTTTGTTTTTGTTAGCGCAGTCATCTCATGTTTGGAGCTGTGAGGAGAAGCAGTAATCTCTGCTGGAGTCTTGCTGTGTTGGCAGCCTGTTTGGTTTGTGATCCAGCAGGTTTTCAACACAGTGCAGCTTTTCAGCTCTTGCAGCCTGGGAGTCCTAGCCTCCTTAACAGTGAGACTCGTCTAAACAGCTGTGGTCTGCCATAGTCCATCTCTGATTCCCCAGTAACTTAGGGACGGAATGTGTTTCTTAGTGCTTTCTGACTTTCCACATCAGCCTCTCTTGTTTTGAGATAGAAACTAAAGCCTGAGAAAGCGGCCTCTTCTGTCCTCCTTTTGGTGGTTGAGGCCTTCTCTGAGGGCAGAGAGGGAGCACAGAAGTCTTGAACTGGAACGGCTGCTAATGTGACTCTCACCGCCGTGGTTTTCCAACAGTTTGAGCTGGATATTGAGCCCAAGGTGTTCCTCAAGCCATCCCGGATGAGCAGCACCGAGGCACTGACCCACAACGAAAGCCAGGAGTTCTCATTTAGTGAATCAACCACTAAAGGTATGCAGCCTCTGAGGGAGACTGTGTCCGAGTTTGAGATGCTAGCCAGAGCAGGTAAAGACAACTTATTCTGCTATCTGTGCTCTCTCCTTCCCTTGCACCTGTGCATCTTCCCTGCACATCTCACTCCTTCTGGCTTCTCTGGGCCCATGCACAATAACCTGTTTTGCCAGAAGAACATGATACTTTGCTGCTTATTCAGGAGAGGTTAAGGCCTGATTTTTTTTTTTCCATTGCTCCATACCACTTATTAATTTCTTGTACCTATGTGAAACGCTACTGGCTCAAAGAAAGAAGTGTTTTGCGCAGATACACAAGGAGGCAATACAGTGGGCAGTTTGCATGTGGTTTCGTGATAGTCAGCACCTGTGTGATCCTGGACCGTGTGCCTATTAACACTGCTGACATACAGCTGCTTTTTGAGTGGCAGCCAGCTAGCATATAACCCATAGCACAGCTGTATTAATGCAGAAGTTTTGGTCACAGGCACCTTGGAAGCTATTGCTCCTAGGAAAAGCTCTGCATCTCCCTTAATGTTTACTTGAAGGAGAAAAGGTTTCAGCTGGTTAAAGAGGCATCAGAAGGACTGACAAAGGGAGTATTATATCACTTGCTCTGTAAAGATGAAGAGATTACCTGATTCTGGTCTGGCTGCTTTATTGTTTGGTACAGACACCACCAGGGTTAGAAAGCATAAAAGCTCTCGTCCACTTGCATGTGCATTTGTTCAAATTAATCCAGTGTCTTTATGGGCAAGCAAGAGATGGCTGATTAAAACTGGGGGATTTATAAACAGGTCAAGTTTCATTGGACTATGTTTTCTGCTTTGTTTCTCATTGTGTGTAGGCTCTCTTTGTGCTCTTCATCCTGGCTTACATTCACATTGCCTTCTCCCGATCGCCCATTAACTGCTTAGAGCATGTGCGGGATAAATGGCCACGCGACGGCATCTTGCGGGTGGAAATACAACGCAACTCGAGCCGAGCCCCCATCTTCTTGCAGTTCTGTGATGTTGAAAAGTTCCCAGGAATGGCAGTTGAGTCCACAGCTGAGGAAGAGGAGGAAGAAGAGGAGGAAATGACTGTGGATATGTTTGAAAACAGCTCTATCAAGGTAAAGACTCTTTTCTGGGGTACGCAGAAGGTAATGGGAAAGTGGGTGTCAGTTTGGGGTGAAACAGTTTGTTTTTGTTAGCGCAGTCATCTCATGTTTGGAGCTGTGAGGAGAAGCAGTAATCTCTGCTGGAGTCTTGCTGTGTTGGCAGCCTGTTTGGTTTGTGATCCAGCAGGTTTTCAACAGTGCAGCTTTTCAGCTCTTGCAGCCTGGGAGTCCTAGCCTCCTTAACAGTGAGACTCGTCTAAACAGCTGTGGTCTGCCATAGTCCATCTCTGATTCCCCAGTAACTTAGGGACGGAATGTGTTTCTTAGTGCTTTCTGACTTTCCACATCAGCCTCTCTTGTTTTGAGATAGAAACTAAAGCCTGAGAAAGCGGCCTCTTCTGTCCTCCTTTTGGTGGTTGAGGCCTTCTCTGAGGGCAGAGAGGGAGCACAGAAGTCTTGAACTGGAACGGCTGCTAATGTGACTCTCACCGCCGTGGTTTTCCAACAGTTTGAGCTGGATATTGAGCCCAAGGTGTTCCTCAAGCCATCCCGGATGAGCAGCACCGAGGCACTGACCCACAACGAAAGCCAGGAGTTCTCATTTAGTGAATCAACCACTAAAGGTATGCAGCCTCTGAGGGAGACTGTGTCCGAGTTTGAGATGCTAGCCAGAGCAGGTAAAGACAACTTATTCTGCTATCTGTGCTCTCTCCTTCCCTTGCACCTGTGCATCTTCCCTGCACATCTCACTCCTTCTGGCTTCTCTGGGCCCATGCACAATAACCTTACGTGTCTTCCAACTACCTCTGATGCTCTCACCTGTGGTTAGTCTTACCACTACTAACAGTAGATCTACAGAAATCCCTTTCCTTCGGCTGGAAGGGAGACTGGGAGCTGGGGTCATCTGCATTAAAAATTTGCTGAAGCCTCTTGGCCTGGTGTCATGTTTCAGCAATGGCCAGTGCCAGATGCTTCTGATGAATTTGAACCTTCCTCCTTTGACCGGTTGTGCTGCGTTTGCTGTGCTCTTGAGATCTGCAGGGATTCAACTGACAGCACGCATTCCTAATTGTGTTAACGGGCTTGGGCTGTATTTTGGGTCTCTTAAATGACCCAGTGCTTGGAATAGCTAACTATACTGAAAGCCACTGAGCAAATTTTAGTAGATGGTGAGATACAGTATTGATGTTCTGCATCACTCAGATTATTATTTGGCTTTATCCCTCCCCTTATTTCAGCATGACTTAGGCTGCTAATGTTTCATAAACTCTAGAAGGAGCTTTAATGACTGTTGTTTAAAATGAATTCCAATATTAGAAAAGTTCTGTGTCTAGTGGTTTGGGGGAGAATCTGTTAAAAGTCACATATACTAAAATAGAGACATGGCAGCTGGGTTCTTATTTAATGTTGGTGTTTTCACACACACTTTTATCCCTGGAAAAACTGGAATTATTTGCTCTTCAGAAGTACAGAATGTTCTAGCTGTGGAGGATTGTGAAACTGGACATTATAATGGCACTCTTCCCTTGGTCTTGCAAGTGTTTTACTTGATGCTGATCCAGAACTCATTAGTCCTGAGCTTCAGATCATTAAGTCGCTTAAGATTGCACCAAAAATATTTTCATGTTCTCCAATACCTTCATTAATAGTTGCCCAAGTTCTGTGAAAGGGTCACATTGTACAATGCTGTGTACAGTGATGGGCTAGGCTTTGATTTGATGAATGGCTAAGTGGAAGTGATCCAGAAAGATGGTGGGAGAAAGGAATTGTGCTGCTTCCCAGTGTAGTTATAAAATTCATGTTTTTAATGGATCTTAAATCCCCAAATACCAGTTTCCCCTGTTTTTCCAGCTTTCTTGTGTTGAAAGTACATGCAATTGAATGTTTAGACAAAATACATTACCACTGAAAAATCTTTTGTGCTACAAAGAAAGCAATTTTTTTGTTGACGCTTAAGCACTTTATTCCCGTTTGTTTTCGGTAGAAAATAGTTTTAAGCTCAAAGTTACTCATCAGATTGTGTTTGCTGCCCAAGATGTGGGATCTCTTCTCGAGACAGAACCAGGGAAGCTTTAAAGAGGGCATTTCTCTCCCTAACGTGTTGCTATAAGTCAGATGAGGCAGGTATGTTTCTTCTAAATTGTGTCCCCTTAACTTTTTTCGCTGCTGCTGTGAGAAGCCTCACACTTGCTTCCTCACACCTCTTGAGAGATACTACTGTGACAGTTTGGAAGATCAGGAATTAAATGGCTTGGATTGCTTGGGTTCCTGCTTACCAGAAGATTTTGTTTTCTTGGAGCTGATGTTCAAAACAGATGCTTTCTGCCACCTTTCTTAAAACAATACCACCACCTTCCCCCTGCCCCAAGCCCCAAAAAACTGTATTCAGGTACTGAAGGATTTTAAAGCCCTAATTGTGTCGATTTGTTTTAAATCGACTGAAGGAAACCTGGAGCCCATATTCACGGCTGATGTTCTTTTCAAGAACTTGGTAGAGGAAGCGGGGGAATCCAGAGGTGCTATTTCTTTGTGGTAATTGTTGGCAAACCCTGCTGTTGTGTTTCACTTCCCATCCTCTCTTGCAGTGTGGCCACAGGAAGAGTACATTGTGGAGTACTCTTTGGAGTATGGGTTTTTGCGTCTGTCCCAGAGCACTCGACAACGCCTCAGCATCCCAGTTATGGTGGTAACTTTAGGTGAGTGAGGGAACGAGCCTACTCTGGTGCACTGGTGGATAAGTGTTCTTCAGAGATACCGACATGCTGTTAGCTCTCATCCATATTTCAGTCATGTCCCATCTCCTCTTTAGTCTTCTGAAACTTTGTCCTGGTTGATGCTGCTCATTTTCCATATAGAAGAGCTTCTTTATGAAGTCTTTATTGCTATAATAGGTAATCCCTTTCCAAGATGAGTAGCCTGAAGTGACAGAGCCTGTTTCAGTGCCTGAGCCCTAGAACTGTCTAGCACTCTTTTCTCCTCCAAGAAGGAGTATCCTCAAGATACTGGAGATCTGGGTTCAGTCCAGTGCATCTCTTCCTTCCTCCCCTCCCTTACTGTTTTTGCATTACATTTTAGAGTTTTAAACGCAAATAGCCTGCAGCCCTTTGAGGCAGTGATACTGCAGCGTGTAGCAGCAGCATCGCAATGCCAGTGCCTCGTGGCAAAAGTAATTGTGCGTGTGTCAGGGACGATACTAAGCAAATTCGATTAGTATTGTCTCAACATACTTCTGTGCCCCTGTTAGCACCAACAGAACCAGCGTTCTCTTCTCCTGGCATTCAATCTGTTAAAACCTATCGAAGTCAGAAATACGGTCTCAGACCTTTCATGCCTGCAATTTTAATTGATCTGTAACGAGTCATTAGTGCAGCAGTTGGACTAAATTGCATTACTTATTCCTAATAAAACTGAAGTACAGTTGGGCTGCAGTATTAAGCAGTGATCTCATGGTAGGTAATGGGTAGTTTCCATATTAAATGTCTATTTACTGATCTGGGCTTTCAAATTCAGCTAGGCAAATCCCTTCATAAGAATCCTAGTGCTTTATTAAAAAATGATTCTTATTTATGCTTCATGTTTTATTTAGGTTTTGGGTATTTTTACAAGCTAACTAGTGTTTGTACGGCAGAACGCATCTACATGTACTATACCAGTGTCATGAGATGGAATTGAACAGCCTTCACTAGTGCCCAGAACTGTGCGGAGGTGTTTGCATGTCCTCTACTGCAAGAGGGCAGATGAGGACCGGTAGGCCCAAGCAGTGGCACGCTGAGGTCAGCTGGTAGCTGAAATATCTCGGCCTGTCCCTCCAAATTTTACCAGAATACGTTTCTCTGGGCCTTTAGCTGGGGTGAGCCCACAGTCACTAGGAAGATTATCCGAGCCTCGGAGTCGAATTCCCTTTGTGTATATGTCAAGAGAGATTATAACAACCCTGATGTAAGCGTTGTGGCCTGATTGACATTGGCATTTTGTCTGCCTGGCTATATTTGTCAGGGTGTGACATTTTCCCTCCCAGACCTGTCCAATTTAGTTATATTGGCAAAGGTCCAAGTGCAGGCACAGGTCTGCTGGCAAGCAGGTCCTTTTAAGAGATGAGAAGACTGAGCGCTTGCCTTGCCTTCCCTGTGGCTTAAGATCTGAGCAGCCTGAATGTTTTCTGTATTTTACCTAGATCCCACCAGGGACCAGTGCTTTGGGGACAGATTTAGTCGCCTATTGCTGGATGAGTTCCTGGGTTATGATGACATCCTGATGTCAAGTGTCAAAGCTTTAGCTGAAAATGAAGAAAACAAAGGTAAGACTTGGAGGAATCACTTTCAGCAGCTGTGCAGCAGGTGGTGTTTTTCCCGTGGACGCATGAACATCATCTTCTATTGATTAATCTCTAATGTAGGGAACAGTTCCCTGTGTTATGTAGAGATGTTATTGTCAAGGACAAAATAAAACAAGCAGGAGTGGAGAGGAAATGTCTGCAAACGTGACTTTTTTTTTTTACTGCCTCATTGTACTGCGTAACAATAAGATAATGCAGCTGTGTGGAGGTGATGCCATGCATCTCCTGCTTTAGATCCCTTTTCTTTTTTCTTTTTCTTTTTTTTAGAAGGCACTGGAAGTTTGGTCTTAGTTTGTGGGCTAATCACATTGGGCTTTGTTTTTTTTCCCAGGTTTCCTTCGCAATGTGGTATCTGGGGAGCACTATCGCTTTGTCAGCATGTGGATGGCTAGGACTTCATACCTTGCAGCCTTTGTCATCATGGTCATATTTGTAAGTGGGGAGGAGCTGGGCACTGTCTGGATTCTGAGCCCAGTGCTGGTCAGCTTATGGGCGAGGCTGAGTATTTGTGTACAACAGTACAGTCCTGTGCTCACATAAGAGATCACGTCTGCTTTTAAAAGCAATCTGATGGAGTATGCAGTTGCACTCTGAAAAGTTGTCTGTGGGTATTAAAAGTCCTAAGAATGAAACAAACAGGAGGTGAAATAGAATGAAATAATGGTTTTATTGTCGAAGGGGTGATTCAGGTTAGAGTCTTAGTGTAGTTAAGCACTCGGACTGCCAAGGGGTGGGGTACAAAAGTTCACCCTCAGATTTTTAAGAACAGGTTTAACCAATGTGCTAGGGTTGATTGTGATAGAACTGAATCTCCTGTGATTACCTGTGTAACCGGATGATTACAGATAAGTATTGGACAAGAGATCAAGTAATGACTGAGCTTGCGTTCATAGCCTTAGATGACTGTCTCTCTTCGTGTCTTACCTTCCACTGATGCAGCTCCTTGTACAATAATATTGTAGCCAATAAGAGGAGAAGTGGAAATGAGTGCAGGGTGACTACTGTCAGAGAGGCAGCATGAGCTACCAGGAGGGGTACAGATGTAGGACAAGAAGAAACCCTAGTTCCAGCTCTGCTGCTCCTATTTGGCCATTGCTCAGTTATTCAGCATAAGTCTCTTTACGGACAAATTGTGTACTGTCTATTTCACTGCAGTAGTATAAAGATTAATTGCTGTTTGTGAAGCCTTAATTACTCTGTGGGAAGTCCTCCTGCATAGCTCAGACTAAGGAATGTGGGATATGCACAGCATGCTGTGCAGTGTTGTAAGTCCAAGCTTGTCTGTCCAAGCCTCTGCCGTAGCGTGATTCTGAAAGTGAATCCCTGGACCTGTGTGACTCTAACGCTGACTTCTGATCTCCTATTTCAGACTCTGTCCGTTTCAATGCTGTTGCGTTACTCGCACCATCAGATCTTTGTCTTCATTGGTAAGGGTTTTCTGAGGCATTTAGGGTGTGTTGGACACTGGGCCTGCTCCAGCACGGCTTAGCATGTGTATACTCTTGACTACTGTTGTGTAGAAGTGTTCCTGCATGCAGCTGCGCAAGAAATGTATCCTCCCTGCCCTCTGCTTGTGGGAGCTGTTCTGACCCTTGCCAGTATTTGGGGTGGTGGACTAGAGACAGCAGAGTTCACAGCATGTTGTAGTGCTCTGAATGGGGAGGATGTGGGGATGGAGGGTTCTCTTGTCCTGTATTCACTGTGTATCATAGCGTGCTTTCCTTCTTGCAGTTGATCTGTTACAGATGCTGGAAATGAACATGACAATTGCCTTCCCTGCTGCTCCCCTACTCACTGTCATTCTGGCTTTAGTAGGTAAGAACGTTAGCTCATTTCTTATATAAAGGAAGATGTGCAGCAAGTCACTTTGGGGTCTTAGAAAGTATAATTCCTTTTTCTGACCTGGCCACAGCAGGTGCTTAATGTGTCTGCTCCTCAAAAGGTGGAAGGTTCTGGAATTTGGTGGCAATGACCTGCATTATCCTTCTGAGTCTCCTGGAAAATCAGTTAATTTGGAACCCACATAAACTGAGGCTTTGTGTGTCTTTCACTCTTGCTCGTTTCAGATTCACGCTTCCTCTGACCATGTTGCATTAGCGCAATTTTAATTAAAGACAAACAAACAAAAACCCAAATCTCTGCTGTCTGGAACCAACTGATCCTCTGGCCCATGTAGTGACTGCAATGAGCAGTGAAACTTGTTTGACCTTGTCTGCTGCTTCAAACAAAAATGATGTTGTCCTGTTGTGGGCTTTGCCATATAGTTATGCAGCCCCAGTTCTAGAAATCGCAGAGAACTTGTTCAGATGCCCCTTTGGGGAAACTCTTCACCAGAACTGTTGTCTGTGCCCTGCAGAGTGTTGATGTCGGACACCTCTCTCCATCCTGTAGGTATGGAGGCCATTATGTCAGAGTTCTTCAATGACACCACGACTGCATTTTACATCATCCTTATTGTATGGCTGGCTGACCAATATGATGCTATCTGTTGCCACACCAATACGAGTAAGAGACATTGGCTCAGGTAAGAGCTGGCTAGGACCTCCTTTGTATATCGCACACTGCTTTACTCTCTAGTGGGAGGCTTCTTTAGATGCTTTCCAGCCCTTCCAAGCAGGAGGGCTTCCACTCTTGAAGGCTTTTGTGTATCTCCTTGGGAGCTACCATACGTGTTACTGGGTTCAAGGTGCAATTGCTCCCACTTTGGGTCTTGTGCATTGCTGTCTGGAATCGCTGCTACCCTTTGTTTTGCTCTGTTGAACACATCTACACCATCCTGGACTGTCAAAATGCAGTGATGAGCGAGAGAAACTCATGTTTGTCCTGTCTATTGATGTATCCTGGTATTTATTGCTTTTCTCTGCAGGTTCTTCTATCTGTATCACTTTGCCTTTTATGCTTACCACTATCGATTCAATGGACAGTACAGCAGCCTGGCTCTGGTCACCTCATGGCTGTTCATCCAGGTGAGTAGCTGCCACTTCTGCTGCACGTTAGTGATGCCAGCTGTATGGAGGCAGGTGGTGGTGTGTGAATTCATTTGTGATCATTCCCCACACCTCAGAGGGGTCTGGCTAGCTGTGTAAAATTACTGTGACGCTGATTGCTTAAACTGGCTTTGCTGTTACAAAGCGAGGGTCGTCAGCTGCAGTTTGGGCTTCATCAGACTACTTTATCAAGCTGAGTTTGAGTATTTATGTAAAAGATTAAAATAATCCCTGATTTGGAAAAGAATAAAAGGAGGCTGTCCAACAGCAGGACTTTTTGGTTAGTGGCTGAAATCCAGATGTGCGACTGACAACAGGCTGATATAGAGAGAGTTTTGAAAAATGTTAGGGAAGGGTCTATGTCCCGTCTTTCTGGAAGACGTCCCACTGAGCGTCTCCTAGTGCGGAGGCTGAGGAGTGGGTCAAGTCTGTGCAGTGAGGGTATTGGTGAGACTCCAAACTGATGTCTCCAATATCCTAGTTCAATCAAACCATTTGTTTCTCTGGCTGTTGATCTGCCCCGTTTCTTTGCTCTAAGATGTAGACAGAGAACTGAGGATGGACCAGAGAGGTGCCTTTACCCTTCTCGTTCTGACCCCTAAAAAAAGGGGGGGGCAGAGAGGGGGACTTCCGTTGCCTTTTTTTCAGAGCTTTTGTAGTTACTCCGACAGCAGTCTGCAGGAACCATAGCAGAAGGGATAAACCTCTTCCAAAATTTCAGATACCGTCTTTGGTGAGAGCAGCCAAATTCCCCAGCCCCTGTCTTTATGGGTAGGGGAGAGAATAGTTTTGTAAGGTGTGTCTAGGCTTGCAGCCTAGGCCCAATGAGTGACCCCTTTCCCTTTGCTTTCTCTAGCATTCAATGATCTATTTCTTCCACCATTATGAGCTGCCAGCTATTCTCCAGCAGATCAGGATCCAAGAGATGCTGTTGCAGAATCAGCAGGTGGGCCAGGGGACTCAGACCACACTCCAGGACAACCTCAACAACAACACTACAGCTGCCCCGGTTGACATGGGGAGCCGACGACCCCACCTGGCCGCTGGACCCTCTGGGGAGAGCAGCAGTCCTGCTGCACTGACTCCTAGCGAGGCCTCCAGTGTCATTGCTGCTGCCACAGCTGCTTCTGTTGGGAGTGATCTGAACTGGGTAGCTGAGACAGCTGCCATCGTTACAGAAGCCTCGTTTCTCTCTGACCTGAGCACTACCCTCTTGGAGCCAAATGTAGTGCATGAAGCCATGGCCAACAGGAATCCTCAGGATGCTTCTGCTGCCTCCAGTTTGGTAGCCCGAATCAGAGTCAGCAGCGACCGTCCAGAGACTGCTGTGGGCTCCATCACTATTGAAGTCACTTCAACATCTGTGGTTGCTGCAGCAGATATTCCCCCTGCTACAGAGGAGGCACCAGCTATGCTCCTTGTCCCGGTACAGGGAGATGGGGCCTCTGTCCCCAGCCCTTCCCTTCCTGAGCAGACTGAAGCTGTAGAAGGGTCAGACAGCCAAGCAAAGCCTAGTGGAAAGGACTGCGTTGCAAACAGCAGTGTGGCAGAGCCCCCCCCGCCAGCCTTTGTGCAGAATACTGATCTGGACAAACGTTTGGGTCATGCCCTAGGGGACCAGGGGGAGAGTAACCCTTGTCCAGCACCAGCGGATAGTACAGCTAGCTCCAAACCTTGCTCGGAGCCAGACTTGAGGAGCCTGTCTTGAGTCTCTGTTCTTGGCAACTCTGGACTGCCAGGAAGGCATTTGGATTTCATTTGTTATTGTTTCTCACCTCACCGTCATCCTTAACCCCTGAATTCCTCTTAGTGGAGGCAGAGTAGCTGGGACAGAGAAAAGGTGCTGCAGTAAACTCCCCTGAGAAAAGTAAATGTGTGCTTGTGTATGAGAAGGAATGAATGCACGTGGGACTGCTAGATGCCAGCTTCTTGCTGCAGGGAGGGAATTATGATGCGTTTGCTTTCAGAGCCTGCAAGGCACCTGGGGCCTTGTGCTTTCCCTGAAGTTGCTGGCAAGCAGGGTGGTTGGATTAACTCTGTTGTGGTCAGCTCAGTGTTACAACTTTTCTTTGCCCCCCACAGCAGCTTCAACTTTGCCCCTAAGGTTGCATTTGCAGTCCTGGTAGTGCTCATAAGTGTGAGCTGATTTGTGACAAACCCTGTTTGTGTATGGCAACTTTCTGGATAGAATAGGAACTGCATATGAACGAGGAGAGTGTTTTCAGACATCCTTGGGAG